GTAAATCCACATTTCAAATGCTTCTAGTCTCTTCAGGTGGCCTTCTGTCAGAGACCAACTTTCTACTCCATAGAGCAGGATAGAAAAAATATAGCATCTTTCAAGCCTGACTTTCAGTCTTAGGCTTATGTCGTGACTGCAGAAGACCTTTTTCATTTTGAAGAATGCTGTTTGAGCTTTCTCTTTCCTTGTCTTTACTTCAGTGGTCATGTCCCAGCTTTCATGTAGATTAGAACTGAGATGCGTGATCCTTTCAACTTTTTCTAGTGGTATTCCTTCTGAATTTATTGGTGGTAAATTAACGGGTTGCTTGCTGATGACCATGATCTTGGTTTTTGAGGTGTTAAGCTTCAAGCCATATTTTTCAGATATTTCTGTGATTCTGTTGATGAGGAGCTGAAGATCTTCATGCTTACTGGCAAGCAGAACTGTATCATCACCATATCTTAAATGCCTCACTGAAGATTGACTCAGAGTAGATATTGAACAACAGTGGAGACAGAATACATCCCTGTCTGACCCCTCTTCTTATTTCTGCATCAGCTGAGTATTTTTGGCCTAGTCTCACATTTGCTACCTGATGCCAATATAGATTCTTTATGATTTGGATATCTTTGTCATCTAGTCCCCCTTGTTTCAGGATTTCTAATAGTTTGCTGTGTCTTATTTTATCAAAAGCTTTTTCAAAATCAATGAAGCACATGTAAACACTGTGATTGACATCTCTACAATGCTGTACAAGAACTTGAATGCTGAATAGTGCATCTCGTGTACCAAGATTGTTTCTGAAACCAAATTGTGTGTTACCTAGACGCTCTTCAATTTTGTTGTATATTCTTGTGTGAATTATTCTCAGGAATATTTTCAGGGCATGACTCCTTAAGCTTATTGTTCTGTATTCAGTACACTTCTGTGCATTTATTTTTGGGGGGATTGTCATAAAGGTTGATTTTAGCCAATCATTTGGTATCTTTCCTGTTTCATATATCTGATTGAAGAGCTGCAGTAAAAAATTCTTCCCATTGTCTTCCAGCAATTTTAAAATTTCTACTACACACCAAAATTTTAGTGCCGCTGTGTAGACAACACATTTGTCATCTTTCCAGACATACAATTCGCAATGGAGGAAGAAACAGCTAGACAATTACCATTTTTAGAATTGCTCATCAGCAGGCAGGAAGATGGAAGCCTAGAAACCACAGTTTATTGTAAGGTCACCAACGCTCCACATATTTTTAGTTTCAATTCTAACCATCCATTGTCACACAAAAAGAGCTGTATCAGAACACTATATGCAGAATGTAGTAGTACCCAGGAAACTAAACAACTGGATAAAAGTTACCTACATGAACAATTCAAGCATAATGGGTACCCTCAGGCATTTATTGCAAGATGCCTGTGCAGAATGCAAGGGAGAGAAAAGAGGAAAGAAGGCAAAAGACCAATTATATGGCACTCCCTGCCATACATCAAAAACATTTGAGAAGCAGTAGAATGCAACTTCCAGGTTCTGCAAGTGATCATCTTATACCTCCCAGAGGCTACCATACAAGGACAAATTATGCACTGTAAAGATCTCTTAGAGGTGGGAGAAATTTCCAATGAAATGCACCAAACCCCTACATGGATTGCTCCTGTTACTATGTAGGATAGACAGGGAAGAAGTTAACCATCAGATTGCAAGAACACAAGCAAGAGGACACCCAAACTCTTTGGTAGCCTCACATTGCAATGAACAAGGACACACATTTAATTTCACACCTACTAAAATCGCTGGCCATGCAGATACAAACATAGCCAGGGAAATGATTTAAGCCTGGGAAATGGGCCCTTGTCAGTTAACAGGAATGCTTATTTGTCACCAGCTTATCAAGTACTTAGGAACTGAGGGCTTGGCAATGGAAGGAAACAATAGTCAGTCACCAGCCATCAACACCAATCAGTCAATAGGAAGGCATCTGATAAACACTTGTCACAGAACAGCCCAAAGCACATATTCCAGTAGAGAAATTCCCTGAAAATGAGCACCAGCATGAATCCATAAGCTCGGAAGAGTAAATCTCTGGTCCTGGTGACTCTCTGAGATTAACTTTGCAAGAAATCAACTCCTTAAGTTTAACTAGAATTGAACTTTTACAGCCACGAAAGACTGATTGTGTTTTCCTTTCCCTCTTTCTTATACAGAAGAGAGTTGGCTTGGAGATAGTTTATTTTTTTTATGCTTTCTTCATTTCCTTGGTGTCAAAAAAGATAATTTTTGACATTGTTGCTCCATAGATTTTCAACTGATTTCAGCCATCATGTTAAGGCATGCTGTGTTTAAATGTGGTTTGTAAAATATGAGCAAGATAAAGGTTCAATCCAAAATGGCAACAAAGAAGAAACGAGGTTGACCAGAACCAATAAGAACTAGTAGAGCTGAAATGTTCTTAAGCTAATCAAAATTTCTAGGAAAGAAGATCTAATTGTCTAACAAAAGAAGACTTGCAGTGCCATGAAAAGCTATCTTCTACCCTTTTCATATATCAACATAAGATTGCAGTTCATATATGAAACAACTGAGTGTGGCATCAAAATACTTACTTTATCAATGTGTCCACCCTTGCTCCCTTATAATAATAGTGTAGCCTTTCTTTCTACTAACTTACAGCAGGATAAAAATCTCATACCTTCTGTTACATGCTATGCCCTCCCAAAAGAATGTTCATTCTTTTTTCTCATTTTCTAGATATAGACTTTATTCTTTCAACCCAGACAAAATGACTGAATTGCCAAATACAGAGAGGGGTTTGGTCATCCTACCAATCTTCCTCTAAAGATATTCTTACTACTGTATATATGTTTCCTAAAAGTTTTGTGAATATACTTTATAATTGTTGCTAATATTCTTTGCTTGAATAAAATATGTGGAAGTATGAAAAATGCTGAAATCTGTTTCTTGTGAGATTTTGTACTGATTTCTATGAATTTATTTTATTATTCTATTATAAATTTTATAAATCTCTATGGCCTTATATTATGTCTCAATCTACGAGTCTTGTTTTAAGTGCGTATTTACAATCTCATCGTGCAGCCATATGCTCCCTTTAAAGGAGTGTGGCTTGCAATTCAGCAGTACAATAATCATGCTTTTTTGGACTCCCACACTAATGCCAAAGGTTTTTATGGTTTTATTGTGTAACTATTGACATTCCTCTAGGTTTCTGTGGGTTTCCTGATCTTTCTTTTCTGCCTTATCTTTTGTAATTTGCAGAATTATTTTCCATCTCTGCATTAATGACATGGGCATACCTAGCCAAGATGAAGCTCTTCCCCTATCTGTGGCATGCAGAAATAGAAGTTGGCATTTTTTAAAAGCTGGAGATGAAAGAAAATCTCTAATGATGGAATAAGCTTCATGGAGGTCTCCTCACTTGATTCATGTTTCACCTCTCATAATTCACATTGCAGCCCCCTATTCTGTTAACAATCTAAAATATTATTTTTCATATGATAACTGCTCCTGGAAGTAGCTATTGTGTTATTAATGGCCAATTATGTTAATAAGCAAACAGGAGTCACTTTTACTTATGTTTACTAACTACATTAATAATCACAAGTCTCTTGAGAGAAAAAAAACAAAGCTTAATAAACATTCAGAATAGAAATTTCTACTGTAGATAGATTTTTCACTACATGATAATTAGTGGGACAGCATTGATATAGTGGTAAGATATTTAACACTCTTAAAAGCATAGAAGACATGTTCTGTTAGAGAAAATAAGTCAGTTTTAAATTGAAAATTTAACAGAAAAGGTATTTCTCTCTTTCATGGAGCAAATGGGTATGTCTTATTTGTGGTATCTCAGGGTTGGCTTTTTAACTTTTTTGCAGAAGAGAATTTAACTGAATAATTGCATGTTAGTTTTCTGATATAATGGAAATGACAAGTTAGGTTGTTTTGGGGATGAGAACAAAGAATTTTAATATAATTTTTCAGAAATTGCACTACAGATAGATTTAAAGAGCATGAAACAGAAGATAATTTGGAGAGCTTTTTATGTAGATAGTAAACAATGAATTAATTAAATATGTTGGTACCTTTTCCACATGATAATTATAAAGAATAAAATACAGTTAGAATTAGCAGAAATTTGGATCAACCCGAATAACCAAAGACCTACATACAAACACCTGCGAAAACCTCAGAAAACAAATATCGTACCTCTACGGGGAGGAAATCTACCATCTGAGAAGATGACGAATGGGACTTCGTCGAAACGTCGCCATGACACTTCTAATTTTACACGGGAGAAAGCAAGAATAACCAAAGGCCTACATACAAACACCCATGAAAACCTCAGAAAACACACACACACACACACACACACACACACACCTTAGTTTAAAGGATTTTTTAACTTAAAATCTGCTGGGGAAATTGAGAAAAAAAACCATCTCTATCATTTACATAAAGACATACAAAAGCACACAAATGCACACAGAGAAAAAATATACAAGGAGGAAATTTCTGCTTTCAAGATTTCCAAGTAAAAGACTTGGCAAATTAATTCATTATTTATTTGCTAGATGTACATTGCCTTTCTTCTAGAAGCACAAAGTACCATACATAGGATTCTTCAATTTTCCAACAGTACCACAAATCTGTAGTAAAAAGTGAGATATTATGATGGATCCAATTATTCCATGTAATATTTCATCAATGAAAATAGACTTTGAAGAGGGTTTTTCTACTCCTAGGCAATTGATCAGTACATGAAATAAGAGAACTGAAAAAAAGGAAAGAAAGAAGTTGGTGGTTGGTTCTTTAGTACAGTTGGATTGAAATTGGCAATTCCCATCCTACACCTGTTTTTCATTCTCTGATTCCTCTGGCCATTCTGTCCATCATTTACATTTCTTGATTTTTTTTTATTCTTAATACAAATTAAAATGTGCTTCCCAAATATTATCTAACTATATCTCCCTCCTCTTTTTCCTTGCAGTTATATCAGCTTTATTATAAATTAAACATGGAGAATCAAACCACAGTGCCTTACTTTCTGCTGCTGGAATTTTCAAAAAATCAGCATCTGCAGCTTTTGCATTTCTTCATCTTCTTTGTGTTATATATGGCAACTGTAACAACAAATCTTCTCATTATCTCTGCAGTAGCTTTTGACCATCGCCTGCACAGCCCCATGTACTTCTTTCTCATGAATTTGGCTGTGCAGGACATAGGTGCTGTTTCAGTAATTGTGCCCAAATCCATGATAAATTCTCTCATGGACACCAGATGCATCTCTTATTTTGGTTGTGCTGCTCAAATCTTTCTCTTTCTCTTCTTTGTAGCTTCTGATTTCTCCCTCCTGACAGTCATGGCATATGATCGATATGTTGCCATTTGCCGCCCACTGCACTATGAGATGGTAATGGATTGGAAATACTGTACTAAAATAATAATTCTAGTGTGGGTTACATGTCTCTTCTATGGAATGTTGCATACCATTGGCACTTTTTCCATCCGTTTTTGTTCTAATGTTGTTAATCAATTCTTCTGTGAAATTCCACAAGTGCTAAAACTATCCTGCTCTGGTATAAATCTATTTGAGGTTGCAGTTCTTATGGCTAGTGTCATTGTCGTACTAGGTTGTTTTACTTTTATAGTTCTATCTTATACCATGATCTTCAAGACAGTGTTAAGAATCCCTTCTGAACAAGGAAGGCAAAAGGCCTTATCAACTTGTATCCCTCATATTACAGTAGTGTCTGTGTTTTTATTAACTGGATTCCTTGCCTATATGAGGCGTCCCTCTGACATGCCATCGTACTTAGATTTTGGGTTGACTGTTCTGTATTCCCTTCTTCCACCTCTGTTCAATCCAATTATCTATAGCATGAGAAATAAGAATATCAAATTTGTCCTTTCTCATATGTGGAGATTCTGACAAATTCTCTTAATGTTGTTTATATTCTGTTCACCACTTTTTTTTTCATTTTCCTTGTTTTTCGTTTTTCTTTTTGTATTCTTATAGAAAAGGTAGAAAGAATAGTTGGGATTGAGGCAAAGTCAATCTTTCAATTTGGGAAAACCATAGAACTCCAGATATTATTTGCAAAAATCCTGCATTCCTAATTACTGTCAATGTACTTTACCGATGGTGGATGTTTGGCAGCACTGACATTCCACAGGCTGACATTTTCTGGTGTTTACAGAAATGAGGATCGGGATGGAATGAGATTGAGAGAAACATATGAAAGGCAGAGGACATTTAAATGATGTGGCCTATTTTTTTCTGTGCTTTCCAATATAAAATGGCTTTCCTCTAATGTTATCCCACATAATATGGCTAGCTAAAGCTTCAGCATTTCCAAAGGTATCTAGGCCTCTATAACTCTTCCTTCCAATAATGGTCACTTGCTCACAAACTTTGTTATTTTGCACTTTTCTATCAGCCTCAACTTCTGGCGACTACCTAGACATGTTTCTATAATTTTCTTGGCAACATTTTTCAGAAGGGATTTGCCAATGCCTCTTTACAAGAGCTGAGTGAAGGGATTGGCCCAAAGCCTCTCAACTGGCTGCATTTCTAAGAGAGAGTCGAATCTCTTAGTTTCAACCTGATGCCTTCACTTCTACATTAAACTGGCTTTCCAATTCTTATGTTCAGAATATTATTTCTTTCCTTAAGGGTATTTTGTGAGAAGACCAGATACCTGGCAGATTGAGATATTATCTCACATAATTATTTGATAACCACAAGAAATGAAAAAAACCCAAGAAATTTAATTAGAAAAATGCATAATTCTACTAGAAAATCAAATAAGCCTTCAGAAAACTTATGACTTAATACAAAGTAGAAGTGATAAAACATGTTCCCTGATCCAATACCTGGAGAGGGAAAAATAGATAGGCCTATACCAAGGATGATATATTATTGAAATGTCCTTGAGAAGGATGAGTTTCATCTAAGCTGCTGATAATGTATACGAAAAGCCATATCACTTTTTTTCAATTAAAGGGATATGAAGGTTTAATTCCTCAGTCCAAATATTTGTAAGCCAAGCTTTTAAATATGCTGAATGTGAGGTTTCAGAAACCAGAATCCATTCAATTACTGAATCCATACCTTTAAAAAATCTCTGAAATGGCAGTCCCAGTGGGAGATTTCTATCCAATTTGTTTACTTCTGCCGAAACAAAGAAAGCCACCATGTTTTTTAAAAAGCCAACATTAAAGCTCAACCTGTGTACATGATTTGCACATCGATCTATTTTCTGAGGCTTCCACAAAGTTTTCACAGAGTCTGTGAAGAAAGGAAATTTCATCTGGAAAATCACTCTAGTGACTTTCATATATCATATCTTGGCCAGCCATGGGAGGGCAAATATACTGGGAAGAATGACATTGTGGATTTGATAATGACATCTTGTGATGAAATGCTACTGTTACTATAACCCATGCTGTAATATTGAATCTTATTCTGAATTTGAGGAGATGTCAGCTTTTTCAGATAGGCCAGTCAGGAAATCAACTCTTCAAGTTTAGTTGAAATTATACTGTTAGAATCTTGAAGGCCATGCTGTGTTTAAGCATGGGTTGTAAAATAAAAACAAGATAAAGGTTTGAGCCAAAATAACAACAAGAAAGAATTGAAGTTGTCCAGATCCAATAAGAACTTGGGAACTGAGATCATCAAGAGATCATCAAGAGTTCCAGGAAACTAAATACACCCATTCAATGAAAGGAAATCTGTAGTGCCATCAAATGCTATCATAATAGTGATATACTGATGTTGTCAATGTGTGCTCACTCTTGCCTATAGACACTTCTGTTTTGTTTCCACCTGCTTAGCTATCAGGAACACTAACCAGACCCAAACGTGATGGGGTCAATTAGCTGTTTCATTGGTCACACCTATACAACAGAATCTTTTCAGACTGATGGTTGTTACCTGGATGAAACTAGATAAGGTCCAATAGCTTTCAAAGGGGGTATGTATGTAAGACTTTATCCTCTTGTGCCAATATAGACTAATTCCACATTTTATTCTTTCCTCTGACTCAGCCAGTCTCCCTCCCACACTAGCAAAGCTAATTGTAACTCTCTCTCTCTCTCTCTCTCTCTCTCTCTCTCTCTCTCTCTCTCTCTCTCTCTCTCTCTCTCTCTCTCTCTCTCTCTCTCTCTCTCTCTCTCTCTCTCTCTCACACACACACACACACACACACCTATTCCATGAGCCAAGGAAAAGGGGAAAAAAAAGAAGCTAAAAAAAACCTTCCTCAGATTTCTTATTCTTTTTAACCATAGTTAAGAATATATTTAATCTTTAGACATTCCATTCAATAGATCTAGTCATCTAATCCCTTAACTCTGATTCAAAACATTTTTATATACTTTCCTTAAATTCAGTCACATTTAAGTATCTAAAACATTTAATCCCTCTTAAAGTGGTATATTCCAAAGTTTTTCTATTTCTTTAACCATATTCAAACACATGCTTCTTTTTTAAGTATTCTCTCTGATATGTGCCATTATCTATTCTCGTAGTTTCCATCTTAATCTTTTTTCTTTGCCCAGAATCTTTCTTAATCAATGTACTTTGCTGAATCAAAAGGTTTTCCCGTATGATCATAGGTGTTGCTGTAGATATAGAGAGTAAATCAATGTCTTTGTCATGGGCATTTGCCCACTCCTTTTTATTAGGAATCTTTTTCCTTCCTTTTCTCTCCACTTCTTTTGTCACTTTTTGTCTCTCTATAGAGTACTTCCTCTCATCCTCAAGTTTGCTTTGTAGTGTTGAAATATAAATTGTCTTTTCTTCCACTTGAATTAAATCAAACTTTTTTATTTTGTGGAAATCCATCTTTAAGTCTTTATCCTCAGATTTATATTCAGTCATCTCTGCTGTATCCTCTGAGGGTTTTTTTTTTAGAGTAAAATTAAATTGGAGATAAGTTGATTTATACTTTCAAAGTTATTCTGTATTTCTTTGTGGTTTAAGATCATTGTCTTTTGAATTAATTGCAGCTTATCATATATTTCCTCTTGTGGAGTATACATTGTTTCTGTAGGTCTCACTTTATCTGAACAACTGTGTTGATTAAAACATATTAACATATTAACCTAGGCGGGATATATATTCTAAGTAGTATGTTATTTCTTATGTTTCGTTGCTCTTGCTTTTCTTCCTTCTTTTTTCTTTTTTCTTTTTTTCTCCATTTTTCTTTTCTTCTCTCTTTTTACTCTTTTATCTATTCCTTAAGAAATGTAAAAATGTGAGATGGCTTATATGGGAAAAACAGAATTAAATTGTCAATGTAAATGTAACTAATTGTTGAGAAAATCCTTACTAGTAAAAATATTTAGAATTTGGTGGGAGAAACAAAGTAAAATAAGGATCGTAACAGGACTGATGATAAGGCAACTCAAATGACTGAAAAGAAAAGAAATATTATACTAATATGATGATTATTTTTTAGGAATATTGGAAACATTATATACTTAATTGTAATTTATTAAAACAATAAAAATTGTATTAATGTTCGCAAAAAAGGATGTTCTGGGGAAAGAGGAAATCAATTAAAATTAATATATGGAATACAGATTATAGAAATCAATTGTTTAGGAGTGGTTTTACAAATGTAACCCAGACAACACACTGTTTACCAATTATTGAGTGATTTATGCTTGTTAAAAAAATATTAATAAAATATATTTAAAAAAGAAGCTTAAAAACCCCTGCCTCCCTACCAAGAGGAATAGCCTCAGGCAACCTGATAACAACATTCTGCAAATAGTTACATAGCATCCATTATTGGGAAACAAAACTGCTAAGAATGTAACAAGAAACAGCTTCCATACTGACAGGATTAAATTAGATAAACACAAAACCCCACAGGATTTACATTCTCCAGCTTTCCCCAAGGCTAGACCTGACCCCGTCCACCACACAGACAATCAAAATACAAAGAACACATTATTAAACTAAACAAATACCCCAACAGGCACCTCAATCACAAAGATTTATAAAGGTATAAAAATCATTCTATTCACCCTTCCAATCAGTCAGTTGAGCCAAAACTCTGTTGTCACTGTAGTTTTTGGCTTCTGAAATAAAACCTTATTTCCCAGCAACTTGTTTTTATGCCTTCTTATTTCATTCATTGCACCAACCTCATTGTCCTGGCTGTAAGGAATGAACCAAAGATTATTCTTCCAACATTATGTACCTTGTACTTCATAATATATGTCCTTCCCTTCCACTGGGATGTTCAATTTTTCTTTATTTTCTAGCTGTTTTTCCATTCATCTCAGAATTGATGCTGATCTATTCAAACTGCAGAATTGTCAGATACAGAGAAAGAGTCAACCATTCTACTATCTCCTTCTATGGATCTTCTGATCCTTGTATCTTATTTTGTATGTTCCTTAAAATTTTTGGGTTATTTTGTAATCTTTGCAAATCTTTTTTATTTGAATAAAAATATTGAAATATGAAAAAGGATGAAATCTGTTTCTTGATGCTTTGCCATATGGGTTTAATGGGTTCTTCTGGAGAAGTAATAGAGACCACAGGGGAGAAAAATCTACAGTATCTTTATTACTTAATTGAAGGGAACAATTTATTGCAATCCCCCCAAAAAATATTAACCAACTAAACTGAGGATATATATACACTGATTTAGTGTAATGTATTTTTATATTTATTTGCTAGATTTATACACACACACACACACATACACAAATCACCCTACATAACATATCCATCATAACAGTCCTATATGAGTTGCAAGAGATTATAACTGGTTCAAGTATTCCCAGGAATCTCATATGGCTGAAAGTAGACTTCAACTGGGTTTTCCTAGTTGTAGGCAATCCTTTTGATTGGGACATTAAATAACCAAAGTGGAAATAGGAAAAAAGGCAAAATATAAGGTTGGTAGT